CCAAAAAATATTTTCCATTAATTCGGTCAACCGATATGTATATATATTTGGGAAAATTCCATGTCAGTGGAATTTTCAAAATTTAATTACATATTCAAAAAAGAAAATTTAAGTTTACTGTTTAATATTTATAAAGTTTTATATTAATTTGAAAATATTTTTCTAAACCTATATTGAAATGAAATTATTGTACTTGCATGTCATAACATATTAATTAGATAATGTCCTACAAGAAAAAATGTTTTTGGATAAAAAAAAATAATAATAATTGTCTCACAAGTTACATTTTTTTTAATTTAATTTTTTACAATAGCAAGAATATTTCTTTCGTAACAAATTATCCTTTTTACTAATAAATTATCAAATCAATTAACAGTTTTTATGACGTTAGAAATTTATTTTAATTAATAATTCAGGTAATTTTATCATTGTGTAAGAGAGCATTTAAAATTTTTATATTTTTAGTTAATTTTATTAAATAAAAAAATTCTGATAAAGGTGTATTTACAATTTTTAAAACTATAAAAATCAATCAATATTTTAAACAAATTTCAAGAATGTATTTGTAACTTATTTATTTATTTATTTTCGTTAGACAAAGGAACGAGCTCTTAGCAAAAGTAAACCTTAATTTTTGGGTAGATTATCAATAAGTCTTAATAATTGGACTTAATTCCTACAAAATCCTATTGAAAACAAACCTAATACAATCGTCGCTAAAAATAATTTTTTTGTGATGATTTTCTTACATATGTTGCTAAAAATTGATAATTAATGATTTTTTTTTATCACGATTTGTATATATTGTCGCTAAAACTTACAATTAGTGACTTTTTCTGTAACGAATTTTTAAAACTATCTGAAAGTTAAAAATTAATGACTTTTTTTGTGATGATTTTTTTAAATTGTCGCTAAAACTTATAACTTATAGTTATTAATATTTTTTGAGAAAAATTAGTCTAAGGTCCTTCTCCCATTTTTAATAATGGAAGAGATTCACAATATTATTTTGTGATGTCTAAGGTCTCTCAACTCCCGACATCCATATAACACAGAGAAATTTGAGCCCCTCAAATCAACTCTCCCTCTCTCAAAATGGACATTGTTCCTGCAACATATGTTGAAAACATCAAGAGATACTAGAGGAAAATGAGCTACCAACTACGTATGTTGAAAATATCAAGAGCTACTGGAGGAAAAGGGTCTGAATAACAAAAGGCTTGGCAGCAAAACTTGTCGGGCTTGGAAGATTAGCCGAAAAGTCCCAACTCTGATTGTAGATTGTTTCGCCGATGAATCTTATGGCAAAGTTTCACGACGCTTATCTCTATATGACGATTCTTTTGGTTTGGGATCATTACACGTCCCCGAACCCAAACAAAAGTACTCTCTCTCCCTCTCAACTCATACACATACAAACATCTATATATATATATAATATGAAGTTAAATTGTTTAACAAAATGCTTCTTAGAACTCCAAAACACATAACCGTGAGATTTGATATGACAAAACTCTTCTTAGAATTACAAAACATATAGCTGTGAGCTTTGAAACTAATCTGTTTGATAAAATGCTTCTTAGAAAAACAATCACAATTTTCTCTAGTTTGTTCAAAATACAGAGAAAATTGTGATTGTTTTTTGGTTCCTAAGTAGCCCAATTTTCTCTGGGTTGTTCAAAACATAGAGAAGATATTGATAATTTTTTGGTTTCTTAGTAGCCCAATTTTCTCTGTGTTTTGTTTAAAACGCAGAGAAAATTGTGATTGTTTTTGGTTTCTAAGTAGGCCAATTTTCTCTGGTTTGTTCACTCAAAGACTCTGGGGTTTATGCAGATTATATGTGAATTTTCTCTGAATTTAGTCACTGTGTGAATTTTCTCTAGATTTAGCTATTGTGTGAATTTTCTCTTGATTTTGGCCACTATGTGAATTTTCTTTGAATTTAGCCACTGTATGAATTTTCTTTGGATTTTGGCCACTGTGTGAATTTTCTCTAGTTGTTCACTGTGAATTTTTTTCTGGAAAAGAGAGAGAGTTTGGAGATGATGAGGGTGGTGATTGTTCACTCAAAGACTCTAAGATTTATGCAGATTATATGTAAATTTTCTCTGGATTTAGTTTCTGTGTGAATTTTCTTTGGATTTTGATTACTGTGTGAATTTTTTCTAGATTTAGCCACTGTGTGAATTTTCTATAGATTTTGGCCACTGTGTGAATTTTCTCTGGTTATTCACTGTGAATTTTTTCTGAAAAACTTAGGGATGTGTTGGTTCTTTTTTGATATTTGCTTGCTTCAGTTTCTCTATGAATTTGTTTACTTGCTCAGATATTCGAAGGAAAAAAAAAATTGAAAAATGTGATTTTGAATGGATTTTCTCTGGTTTGATAATGATTAGGTATATATTGATCTTGAGGTTCGTTTTTGATCAATTTTCTCTAGTTGAGTCAAAACGCAATTTTCTCTGATTTGATCAAAACATAGAGAAAATTACAAGCAAACCAAAGAATTTGGAAAGATGAGGAATGAAGTTAGACGAGAAGAGAGAACTGCCACTTAACCCTCTTGTGTGTGTAATTTTCTTTGACATGTTTAATTTTCTTTGCCATGTGTAATTTCTCGGACATGTTTAATTTTCTCTGCCTTATTTAATTTTCTCTATAATGTTCAATTTTCTTTGCATCTCTCTTATTTGAAGAGGTAACTCTCATTTGCTCTATTTGTATGTGCAAAATTTGATGCGTACACTAGAAGCAAGATCGTTTCGATCGACATTGGTGCACTTGTTGTTTGAATGTCTTACAGTTCCGAGAAAATTGGTCAAAATGGTGGTTGTTCAATTTTTTTTTTGGTTTGTTGTTGTCTAAATGGCTTACAGTCTGGTTTGATAAAAAATACAGAGAAAATTATGAGCAAACTAGAGAAAATTGGTCAAAAACACAGAAATTAGAATTTCTGTGGAGAGAAATCTCTAGGAGGTCTAGAGAAATTCTTTAGGAAGTGCCTAGAAATTCCCAAAATTTCTCTAGTGAGAAAATCTCTGAAAAATCCAGAGAAATTTCTCTAGAGATAATTTCTCTAAGCAGTCCAGATAAATTCTCTGGGTCGAATTTTCTGTGGATTGATATTGATGGACCTTAGACATTATAAAAATATTGGGTGTCTTTTATGTTATAAAATCTTAATACCATGGATCTTAAAAAAAATCCCCTATTTTTTGTAATAAAATTTTTAAATTGTCGATGAGAGTTAACGATTAGTAATGTTTTTTTTAATAATATATGATAAAAAAATATATTATTAATTATCATAAAATCTGTTAAATAATAAATTCACTTAAGGTTCGTTTGAGAAGTGGGTTGGCTTTTTGATTTTTTGATTATTTTAACCTGGGGCTAAAAAGTCTGATTTGGGAATGGTTTTTTGGTTTTTTTGGCTTTTTTGATTTTTTTTGTGAGAGAAAGAATGTAATAATTATGAATTGGATATGATATTTTGTCTTATTGAGTTAAAAAATCTATTTTAATCAAAAAAAACCCCAAACCCTTTTAATTTTTTTTTTGGACCACCGTAAGAGCTGTGGTTAGAAAAAGTAAAAGTTAGTCTTCTCCGCTTATCTCTCTCACTAAATTTGTTATGGGCCAACAGGATAAGGTGACTTGTTTCGTATGGAAACAGATCGTCAACTGTGAGGCCATGTTTGTTTATCCTCGTAGAGAGGGAGATTGGAGTGTTATTGTTATGGATCCTATCTATAATTTGTTTGGTGATGATTTGGGAGGAAAGTGTAATATTCCAAGGAGCTTAATAATCCTTCACAGTAGGGGCATTAATTTGGCTAAATTTTAGATGAGATTGAAAAAATGGTGAGGTCTATTTTATACTAAGTGTACTTATTTGTTTTAATATTTATTTTAGTTTTTTTTAATATAGAAATAGTTTATTTATTTATTTTATATAAAAATAAAACCTAACAGTAATCATCTCCCATACTATCATAATAACAAATACATTTTTATTAATCCTTTTACTAACAATTCCCACGTTAATAATTTCTTCACTAACTATCTTCTTACTAACAATCCCATTCAATTTAATCTACCAAATAAACGTGGCCTAAGCGATTGATCTTGCGTAACAGTAGCGTAATTGTATCGTTACGGCTTGTACGACTCTCTCCCTTGTTGTCATTCTCGTTTTATTTTTTTACCTGATTTTTCGTAAAAAATTATAAAATTATAAAAATATCAATTCCCAAACTAACCTTTAATATATCTCTAACCTCACTTTGGTGTGAACGCTAGAACAAAACTGTAACTATTTTTCAATTAAAAAATATTCAAAAATATTAATTTCTTAATGGGTTCTATTTCAGATTTGCTTAATTCACATGGACTAAAACTTTGTGTGGATATTAAAATTAGTTGAAGTGCGCATAACCTGGTCAGAATATCCAATCATAAATAATAAATAAATCAATTTATCCATTTTATTTCCTCATTTTGATTTGTTTTGAGTTTTTCTGTTTTGATGGAGAGTTTATTTAATAGATAATATCATCACATCCAAATGTTTGGCTTCTGAGCATATTGTGAAAGCTCTACATAGTACTTCAGGACTAACAAATAAAATTTTCATTAGGAGAAATTTTATAATTAATTTACAACATTCTAGAATTTATAAATTTTAGAGAAGTGTCAAGTCCATAGAAGCATTAATTAGTGTGTGTTAAATATAATCTTAAATATAGTACTTGAAGCTTGTTCATAATAGTACGAGTATGTGTATGTGTTTGTGACTGAGCTATGAGATTAGATAAACACTTCATAACTGAACTGAAGCAGCAAATTCAAATAATCAAATTTGAAGCATGAATAGGGGATAGTTTAACAAGAGTACAAATCAAAAAAATGTAATGCAAAATAAATACATAATATTATTCAGCAATCAAAAATCCAAACACATAACATGAAACATGTATATATATATATATATTGTATCAGTTGCACATCACATCCTGAAGCTGTTGTGTCTTGATATTAACATTCATGGTGCAACTCATTTGGGTAGATTTCTTCTTCTTCATTATCAGCATTAGCTCCACCTTTCCACTCAGATTAGATTGACTGCTCAAAGGCAATAACCCAAAACTTATATCACTTGCCAATTTTGTATCGCTTAGTAGACTGGGTGGTGCAATCAAGTTCACTGCAACATTGAACTTCTTGGTTTTTAGGAGACTGGCTTTCGATTTGGGGACAATTGCAGTCCCAACTAGTGTTACTCCATAGTAGAATTCAACTGTGGTGTTGCGGTATTTGTAGGGGCCGAAATTGGGGTTCTTGACCCCAAGTTCAGCATTCATCGTCATGTTAAATGAGGATGTTGTGACATTAAATGTCTCGAATGTGGCAGACCTCACCCGGAACTTGGGATTTTTGACTTTCATTATTGTTAAACCAATCACAATTCCAATAACAATTTGAGACACCATGAAGATAATGAAAAATGTCAAACGCTTGCGTTTCTTGAGGCGAAGCTTTTCCGCTTCTGCTGTCTGTGCTTCTTCATCGCTCCGGGTATAGCCATTGGTTGCTGGCGGATGACCGGCCTTCAGCTCTTTCTCTGCCATCTAGCTAGAGGGATTGTTTTAATTCTTCAAAGAGAGAGAGAGGGGGATGCTTTGCTTGTTAGCTAAATGGGATTGAGCTTGAAGAGGATGTGATGGTGGTGGTGGTGATTGAGAGCGTGGTAATGAGCTATATATATAATGTACATATATAGCATTGAATGTTGAAAACAATAGTAAACTGGAATACTTTAGTTTGAAAGCTTGCTAAAATAATGAATTAAGGCCATGTTTGTTTGGGCGGACTGGATTAGCATTCCCATGACTAATAGTCCTAGGACTACAAATTCGTTGGATTATGTATCATATCTTAACTAATAGTCAAGTTTAAAATAATTAGTCCGTACTTCAATTGTTTAACCAAACATCGGATTAATAATTTTATTAGATTATTAGTCCAATCCCAAGCTTATGTCCACCCAAACAAACATGGCCTAAGGAACTACCATGGGATGGTTCCCAAACGTGTGGAACAACTTTTCATTTGATTAATTGGCTTCTTGTGATGTTTGCAATTTGGGCCCATCAATGTACGGTCATGAGTAAAATTCTAAATGTATTAAAGTCTATTAGATGCTTCTATCCGAAATATAAGACTTGACATGGTCAGATATGGGATGCATTTTATCATTTTTCTTTTTCGAAATTGATATCTCGACTCGAAACTGACCTTTTAGGTGCACTAAGATGAAAAAGCCTGCATGATGAAGTACAAAATTTATTTGTTTGACTTGTGATGAAGTACAAAAATGACAAATGTTAAAAATCATCGCCTTGTTTGGGTTGCTTTTAAGAGAATAATTTTGGACAAAATTTTTTAAAATTTTATTTGATTTAGTGATTTTGAAAAAAAAATTTCAAAGTCACTCACTCTCCTACACATTAATCAATCATTTTTTCTTTCTTATCTCTCTTTCCCAAATTTTTTTTCTCTCACATCATTGTGAGTAAAATTATGTGAAATTTTTGTGGTCTCAAATATTTTCTCATAAAAATATACTTACATCCAACATGAACGTAATGGGCTATAAAACTTAAATGAAAAAAATTACAAAATAATGGGTAGGGCCGGCCCTGAGATTTAGGGGGTCCAAGGCAAACTTCGGAAATGGGATCCCTCTTACATTGAAAAAAAAAGAATTCACGGATAAAACGATAAGTTAAGACAACCACTATTAGTGTTGTATCAAACATGGCCTAAATGTATTAAAGTCTATTAGATGCTTCTATCCGAAATATAAGACTTGACATGGTCAGATATGGGATGCATTTTATCATTTTTCTTTTTCGAAATTGATATCTCGAAACTGACCTTTTAGGTGCACTAAGATGAAAAAGCCTGCATGATGAAGTACAAAATTTATTTGTTTGACTTGTGATGAAGTACAAAAATGAGAAATGTTAAAAATCATCGCCTTGTTTGGGTTGCTTTTAAGAGAATAATTTTGGACAAAATTTTTTAAAATTTTGTTTGATTTAGTGATTTTGGAAAAAAAATTTCAAAGTCACTCATTCTCCTACACATTAACCAATCAGTTTTTCTCTCTTATCTCTTTTTTTCAATTTTTTTTTCTCTCACACACATCTACTCAACTACAACAAAATATCAAATCATCCCAAATTCTTATACTTCAAAACTATTTTCAAAATATACAACCAAACAAATCAAAAAAATTTCTAAACTCTCTCTCTAAATTTTTTTTTGAACATTTATCTCCCAAAACCAAACCAAACACAGTATTTTTAGATTTGTAAATTTATCTATAATGATATAGAAGGGGAGTGAGAATTTATATAATTGAATGTGTAACAAATAAAAAATCAATACTTATTATATACTACATCATTGTGAGTAAAATTATGCGAAATTTTTGTGGTCTCAAATATTTTCTCATAAAAATATACTTACATCCAACATAAACGTAATGGGCTATAAAACTTAAATGAAAAAAATTACAAAATAATGGGTAGGGCCGGCCCTAAGATTTAGGGGGTCCAAGGCAAACTTTGGAAATGGGGCCCCTCTTACATTGAAAAAAAAAGAATTCACGGATAAAATGATAAGTTAAGACAACTTTTTTATTTGTTTGTAACCACAAAAAAATTTACTTGCACATATAATCATTAAAATTATAAATAAAAATTTACTTTTATATATTAAGATAGGAAGCAATCATTACAAATACTCAAAAAAAAATAAAAATCTTATCTTGTTATTTTTTTATATCTAAAACACAAAATTATATTTGGGGCTCCTTTTTTTCTGTCCAAATTTGGGGGGCCAAAGCGCAAGCCTCTCTTGCCTACCCTCAGGACCGGCCCTGATAATGGGCAATGAAAAACTTATTTATCAAAAGGTAAAAGTGTAACTTTTGTTGTGATTTCTTTGCATAGAAAAAATTACAACCCCATATATCATATATATATATATATATATAAGGGAGACTTATGTGTAGGTCATAATATGTGAATTTATTGTCCAACAGATCTTGTAATAATTAGCGGCATTTTCATCAAATACTATTAAAAAACGTCACTAATTGTTAATTTGCAATGACGGTTTAAAAAATTTGTCACAAAAAGTCACTAATTATAAGTTTTAGTGATATTTTAAAATAATCATTACAAAAAAGTAACTAATTTACAACTTTCAACGACAATTTGAAAAATTCGTCACATAAAAAGTCACTAATTATAAGTTTTAGCGACAATTTTAATAATCGTGGCAAAAAAGTCACTAATTGTCAATTTTTAGCGACAGGCAAAAAGATATCACAAAAAATTATTTTTAGCAATCATTATACTAGGACTAACTTTTAATAGGACTTAATGAGAATTAAGTGCAACTATTAAGACATATTGGTAATTTATATATGATTTTAAGGGCAAAATCATAAGTTGTTCAACTCATTGAGTTAATCTCAATCAATTTTTCGTCAAAAAAATTAACGGTATTATCAATTGGACCAAATTGATACAAAATCCAAAATTAAAAATCAAAATTGAACCAATTGAAAATGTAAAGACCAAAATAACACAAGAGACGAAATATATAAATTGCTGGTATAATTCGTTAAAATTTATATTTTTAAAAAGTACTTGATGAGATCTATCAAATAAGATCTGAATTGAATGTAAAATTATATAAAATGAAAAATATATAACACTTCACACTTTTTTGAATTTGATGGTACGAAAAGTTTCACTTTTGAAATTTCACATTTTTATTTTATAAATGTATGAAAATTTTACGTAATTTTTGAATTGAAAATTTTTAAATTTTGAATTTATAATTTAGTGTGAAATTTCACATATTTGACTAGTAACCACCTAACTATACCCTATAAGCACTCGATAATTTCTCCTAGTTGAATTAGGTATGGCTGATATGACATTTACTTTTATTTTATTGTTTTAAAATTTTATATTTTCATAATTTTTATTATAAATATTTATTTTTAATAAAAATTATATTTTTAGAGTCTACATCTATCAAATAAGATCAATATTGAGTATAAATTTTTTTATAACTAAATAAATATTGTTAGTAAATAAATAAATATTGCTACTATAAAAAACAAATAAATTTTTATGAGTAGATAAATATTGTTAGTATAAAAAAATTTAGTTGATGAAACAATTATGTAGAACATTTCTGTGCAAAATAAAAAAAAAAAATCAAATTTTTCTAATTTTAAAACTGAGAATGTTATTAGTTTAAAACTGAAAAAATTGATAATATTCTAAATTTTAGTATTGGAAAAAAATTGAGAAATTTCTCAGAACTAATAATATTCTCAGTTAATATTGGAAAAAATTGATAAATTTTTTTAGTTTTACTGGATAATTTAGCAAACTGAAAAATCGTTAGTTTCGCATAACTAAAAAACAAATAAATATTTATAAGTAAATAAATATTGTTACTATAAAATTTTTCTCTTAATTAACTCAATCGACTCCATATATTTTAGGGGAAAACACCAATAAATCTCAAGTTTAGATAGTTTGAATCATTTAGTCCTGGAATTTAATTTGTAGGCTGATTGGTCCCATGTCAATGTTTTTTTTTTTTTTGATCAGCAAAGAAAGATCAACTTTATTGATGAAGATTCAACAAATACAGATGAAAACATCAACAAAGAAGGAAAAAGCACACCAAAGGATGGTGAGATACCATCCAAGAAGACAACCAAACAAAACAACAAAACTACACCCCACCAAGAAAAACAAACAGCCACACACCATACAAAGAAAACTAACAGAACCACCAATTTAATCCTAACACCCCCAACTTCCACCAACTACAAGAGAATAGAAGCAACCCAACACCACCAATGATATTAAGACAGAGAGACATACCTGATTTGTTGCAACCTTCGAATGATGTCCTGGACTGAATAAGAACACCCTTTTGAATGAGCTTTGACCCAAAAAGCCACTCTAGCCAAAATCAACTCACAGAATTCTGCAAGGCAAAACTGCTTCCCAGAGAAAACTACTTCATTTCTGAGTTTCCAAGTAGACCACATGACAGCCAAAGGAATAACTTTCCAAATTCTATCTTCAAACTTTCTCCACTTAAATCCCATCCACCAATGAGGCAACCCTTCAACATTACTAGGCACAGCCCACTGAATCCCCCACCAGTTTAGCACTGTAGACCATACTTGCCAAACAAAAGGGCACCAAAGAAGAACATGATTAACTGTTTCAGCATCATTCCTGCAAAGAACACAATCAATGGAAGCACTTTGGTTGAGAACGCCAATCTTTTGCAGAAACATGGTTGTTTTCAATCTACCTCTCCACGCTAACCAACCAAGGAACTGAACTTTCGGAGGGGCCAAATTATACCATAACAGACCAGTGCACAGAATTGAAGGACTATCAGCACAAACTTTTGAAAGGGAGGATATAGAAAATTGTTCTGATGAACATGCCAGCCACTTCAAACAATCTTCATTGTCCCTAGCCCCTAACTCTGCTTGATTAACTAAGGTAAC